CCCAGAAACAAATCTAGGGAAACCATCTGCAGCACACATACACACACACACATACACATGCGTGTGCATGATGACATGCATTCAGATTTGCACCTTGAATTACCTTTAAATTTATAATAAATATTCTAAATTCATTTCTGAAGCTGTAAATGCTTTGTTCGTCAGTTTGTGATGGTTGCTTTTCTGCCTTTGACCTGCAGGGGGAGACGTTGGTCCACCTTCGTCACATTTGTTAAAATTAATTTATTACAAGGGGCATTTGCCCAATCTCCACCTGTGCAACAGGAAATTGTTCAGTGAAAGTATGTTCTCTTTTCAGGTCTTTCCTGCTCACTCAGGCACAGAGAATGAAACTCAACCAGTCTTAGGCAAGTTTGCACCTCATCAGACTTTGCTTGCCAGTAGACCTTACTAATGCCATGAGTTTGCCACAGGGACTTAAAGCTATAGTGTAATTGCTAGTTCCTGATGGCAACTGATGAGTAAATGTGCAGCTGGGCCCAATTAGGACCTGGAATGCTGCACAGGAGAACGAGGAGTTCATGCCTTCTCTTCTGTGCTGTTTTTGGAAGTTGAAACACCTCGGGAGCCACGGGAAGTGCCCCCCCCCCAGGTTGATCCTGAGCTTTCCTAAGATGGCAGGATTCATACAGAGGAAAAGCCATGACAGCTGGTGTGCTGAAGGATCCCCTAAGCAGAGCTGCAGTTACTGAAGAGGAAGGACACGGCAGTCCAACTCTTTGCTGCTTTTCACTCTGGCCCACTCGGGGGGATCCATGTAGTTATTCCTCCGCACCATGGCCCTGGGACTGATCTTTCCAGGAGTTGTAAAGAGCTGCAGCAATGGGGAAGAACACAGGGAAATGACACATTCTGCACCTAGAGTATTAAGATACGTGCCCAGTCATATGATGCAGGAACAGAATTCTCCTCAACTGATTATCACCAGCAGAGTTCTGGCTCTATGGAGACTGTATGCTTTCATTTGTTAGCTGCCTTGGTGGCTCTTGTGAGAGCAAATAGGTGGGAAATCCGTTTTGCAAAATAAATTCTTGTAGCTCTTTCCAAGTATTCTTCTTCAGGACATATCAAATTGTGTTACATCTTCCCCATTCTGTAAAGGAGGAAATCATGTCCCTGTTTATGACTGGTGAGGAGGATATGAAGTGAACAGAAGACTAACAGGCAATTCTGGATGCAAAAGTCTAGAGACTTCTTTTGAGCTCTGGATTCCTTGGTTTAAAATGAGCGTAATTCCCGCTCTGCTGAAAAATGTGACTTTCCTATGAGTTAGTGTGCAATAGTTGCATCCTCATGATTGTTTCATACTGATGGTTACCCATAACTTACATGTCCTGAGTCTTCAGGCATGACACTCAAGTGGAAAGGACTGCATTGAGCAGAAATGTCACCCCATTTGCATTCTGTGGCTTGAAAAAACGAGGATTGGGATTATGATAATGCTAACCAGATTCGATGGCAAGAATTACAGGACCAAATTCTTGCCTGGCTCAGATTGTCTGTCCCAGCCATAGAAAGGCTCCTCTTCTCCCTCCTTCCTGGCCAGGCAGACCTTGGGGGCAAAAGAATACTGCTATAGGTTTCTTTGCAAAATGTCCCAGAATCAACCCCTCTTTTGCTTCCAGCATTGTATGAGAGGGAGAACTGATTCTTCTTGTGCAAAGATACCTTTCTCATATTGGAAGGATAGAACAAAGGCAGTCTCCAAGCCCATGATGGCAGATTGAAGGGTTAGTAAAGTATTTAAGTATTTGAAAACCAGTGTAAGATAACAACCCCAACATTGTGCAGAGTGGAAATTCTTTTTTTCTTTCAACAAGATAAAGCAAGTGATCTGAAATCTAGGGTTTTTTTTAATGGTTTTCTTCTTCTGGAGAAGAAAGAGAACAGTTTTCCGGCAGCTTTTGTAACCAGTGAGCACACAGTGAATTTGCATAAAGGGTGGATCTTAAGTCCTGGATCAGCTTAAGAAAGAGAGGATGCTAACCAGAGCTACTTTCCCACAGGAAGCCCAGGTGGTTCCTGATGTTTCCCAGCATGCTGTGGGCCATTCTCCTTCCACTTCTCTCTCACTGCTCCGGTGTGTGGAGAAGGGTTTTTTAAAAAACAGCTTTGAAATGCAATTCCAGGCCTCTTATTAACACCTGTCTTTATATCTTTCCAGGTGTCAGCTCTCAGCCTACCCTGACCCAGCTCCCCTCAGAGTCTGTGGCCCTTGGAAAGTCAGTCAGACTCTCTGCCAGTCTGAGCAGTGGGCATGAGACCTATGTTGTGTCCTGGTATCAGCAGAGAGAGGGGCAGAGAGGGGCACCTCAGCTTTTGCTGTACAGTGACAGCAACAGAGGCAGCGGGATTCCAGATAGATTCTCTGGTTCCAGATCAGGCCTTGATCGCTATTTGACCATCACTGGGGTGCAGCCAGAAGATGAGGCGACATATTACTGTGGTGTACATCATGGCAGTAGCAGTAGCAGTAGCTTTGTGTAACCCACAGTGATAGATTTAAAAGGGGAACTGAGACAAAAACCTCGGCTAAGGGAAGGAAGAAAAGGTTTTACTTTCTCAGTCCTCTCTCTTCTTTCATCACCTATTTTCAGAGCCTCTCTGGGGCAACTGAGAACAATTTTAATGCAATCCTTTCCTTGCATTCTCTCATGCAAATCTCATTGAACTGAATGGAATAATGGCCCTGTTCATACGAGGGGTTTTGGTCCGGGAGCGAGACAGAACGGGGGCGGAGCAAACGGGCGCGATCCCACGGCAACATCTGGGAATCGTTGCCTGCCCATCCCCGATCCGTCCCTCCCGCCCGAAAACCCGCACTAAAAAGAACCACCTACCTGGGTGGTTCTCCCGGCGTAGAGCGCCTCAAACCGGCCGTGGGATCGGCTGGTGCATCCTTGCGCCGGCACATCTCGGCCCCCGGCCGAACTGCGCATGCTTGAGCATGCGCAGTTCGGCAGCCACCCCCTTCCCTCCGATTCTTCCTCCCTGGCATCTGATCATGCCGGGGAGCGATGCGACGTGGCTTTGGGGATCCGTGGGATCCCGCCGCAGCGTCGCAACTTTGGTGCAGCTTTTAAAAGCCGCACTTTTCACTGTGTTTTCCCTGCCATGTGGCAGGGGCCTATATTTAGGATTACAGCCTTGGAGAGGTAAGAAACCTGCAGATGGACTTCTCCACCTGTAAGCTCCAATCATGTGCTTAAGCCCAGAAGTTCACACACTTCTCCTTCCATGGCCTTTGCAATTTCTCAGCAGGGGTTCTAATGCTGTCAGGTTGCGATGTGGTCAGAGGCTGCAAAAGTTGCCACCTTAATTCCAGAATCATTTTGGGAGGGGTTCCTGTATCAGAAGAGGGCAAGACATGCAAATCCTGGAGAAGGGGACTTGGATCTCAGACACACATATGGATCATAAAGGACTCTCTGCTCTTGTATAAACCAGCCAAGAAGACATCATAAGAAGAGCCTTGCTGGATCAGACCAAAGGCCCATCACGTCCAGCACTCTGTTCACCCAGCAGCAAACCAGCTGCCTCTAGGAATCCCACAAGCACCCCCTGCCCATGCTCCACAGCAACTGATAGAAAGATGGATGCTTCCTGTGGTCCTCCAGGGAGCATATATCTATCATGGTTGCTAGCCCTTGTGACTAGTAGCTACTGACAGCCCCATCCTCCATGAATTTGTCCTTTCCCCTTTAAAGTCTTCCAAGTTGGTGGCCATCACCCCATCCTGGAGCAGTGCAGTCCACAATCTAACTGTGTGACCCAAGTGCTTCCTTTTGTCTGTCTTGAGTCCCCCACCCTTCAATCTGAGTGGATGGCCCCGAGTTCCACTGTTCTGAGACAGGAAGAAAAGTAGAACTTTATAGACCTCTATCACGTCTCCCCTTGCTCTTTTTGTCCTTAAGCTAAACAGCCATGGGTGTTTTAACTGATCCTCGCAGGGCAGTTGATTTAGTCTTCTGATCATTTTGGTTGCTCTTTTCTGCATGTTTTCAAGCTCTGGCTGTGGTGGAAAGTGCTGTCCAGCAACAGCTGACTTATGGCGACCTGTGGGGTTTTCAAGGCAGAGAGATGCTCAGAGTTGGTTTGCCCTTGCCTGCCTCTGCGTCACAGCCCTGATATTCCTTGGAGGTCTCCAATCTAAACACTATCCAGGGCTGACCCTGCTTCTCTTCAGAGATCTGACGATGAGATCAAGCTAGGTCGACAATATTCCTCGAGTTCTGGGGGCAGGGTCTGGGGAGGGAGCTCAGCAGGGATGGGGTGGCCTAGAGTGCAACCTCCAAAGCAGCCGTCTTCTCCAGGGGAGGTGATATCTGTAGTCTGGAGATCACGTGTAATCCAGGAGCTCTCCAGGCCCTACCTGGAGGTTGGCAACCCTATGTGCACAAAAACAAAGATTTAATTTTTTTAAATAAAGGGGGAACACTGGAATGCTGCTTCCATGTCACAGTTGGTAAGCTTTTCATGGGAAAAAATATCACATTTTCAGGGTGGGGACGGTCAGGAATAACTTGGCCTGTGAGAGAGCTTTCCCCTCCTCTCATGGGGTCCTCAAGTGGCTGGGGGTGTGGTGTGCTTGGTGTGTGGGGTCCGCATTATTTTTATCGATCCATAATTGGCTGAGACTGAAGAGGGACAGAAATACAGCAGAGACATGAAGCAATTTTATACTGAATCAGAGACCACTGGTCCTTCACAGTTGGCGTTGTGAATTCTGACTGGCAACTGCTGTCCAGGATCTCAGGCAGAGGGTCTTTCACATCACCTGCTACTTGGCCCTTTTCACGAGATGTGCTGGGGATTGAACCTGAGACCTCCCCCATGCCAAGCAGGTGCTCTATCACTCCCCTCGTCTCCCCTCGACCAATGACCAGGAAGCCAATTTGCATCTGCTCTTCCTACAAGAGGTTTAAAGAGGCTTGGAGGACCTGTTGCTCAAGGAGCCAAGCCCCTCTGGAGTTGGCAACATGGCCCAGCTTCTGCTGTTCCTCCTGTTCTTCATGGATTGCCCTGGTAAATTCCAGTATATAGTTGTTGCCATCCCTGAAGCTTGAAATCCGGCCCGTGAGCTCAGCAGCACAACTCCTGTTAGTGATCATCAAGTGGGCTAAGAGGCCCTCTTATTTCACGCATGTCTTTTGTTTCTCCCAGGTTCCCTCGCCCAGTTCTCGCTGCTTCAGCCACCCGCAATTTCAGTGTCTCCTGGTGGCACCGTGACGCTCTCCTGCAATCATTCTGATGGTGGCGCAATGTTAGCTGTTTATTGGTACCAGCAAAGAGGTGGAGAAAGCCCCAGATATCTGCTGGGTGCATCTGCTGCAGTCTCCCTCAAGCTTCGGAGTTCTGGAGTCCCTGACCGTTTCAACGGCTCCATGGATTCCTCCTATACAGCTGGCTCCTTAACCATCACCAATGTTCAAGCAGAAGACGAGGCTGAGTATTACTGTCAAACACCATCCCTTGGTGCTCACACTGTGATACACTCAGTTGAGGAAGTCGGACAAAAATTGGCTTGCTGGGTCTGCAGCTTGCCCAAGTTCCTTGTGCGTGACTCTGTCCTCAGAGTCAAGTGCTGCACCTGACATGCCCTCCGATACGACTGATGTGCATGTTCCAGGCACCAGATCAGTCCTATTGAATCAACTGTCCTCTCAGTCTGCGATCCTTGGAATCTTTTCTGCTGTCTTAGCAATGATTGTATGTACTGGACTGGGCTAGTTGCCCATGCAGTGGAATATCAAATCAATTCGGTGGCTCATGATCTACAGCTGAGTATTTATCCATTAGTAAGGTCTGGCCAGAGGATGAAGATTCATATTATTTTACTACATACTGAGGTCCCTTTAGTACCTTTGCCATCCACAGTTCCCCACCCTTTTCTCCAAGGCAGGAGTATCAGTTTCCCAGCACCAAGCTGACCCATACATACAATCCAGTATCATGGTGCCCCATTGTGATTGCACTCCGAGAGCCTCCTGAAATCTATCATTGTCTTAGGGATGCCCATTCCACAAAAAGTTCTGAATAAGCTCAGAATGACATCGAACTAGGGTGCAGTGAGAAGGAAGGTGGGGGCTGAAATGAACAAGCTGAAGAACAAACGGTGGAGGTGTGCTGAACAGGGGAAGCAGCATGGCTGATTTCACATGAAAGCAAAGGTGTGGACAAATCTCAAGAACTGGATATTCTGTTCTCTCTTGTAGCCAGATATCTCAGAGCCTTCCTTACCAGAGGTCCCTTAGGTCTTCCAGTGTCCTTTTTCCAGAAGACTCCTGCCTCTGAACACTGATTTTTCATTTTAGTACAGTTAGCCATTATTAGAGCTCTCTGTTTTCTCAAATGCCTTCTGAGTTGGTGGACTTCCTTATGTCTTGTAGAAGTTACTTCTCTATACTTATTCTGTGTTGTATGAAGAAGACTTCCTTAGCTTGTGTGATCATCTCCCTGTAGTTCCACCAGCCACCTGGATCACCATGCAGGCTAAGCACACAATGATTGGATTGGAAGCCAGTATTTCCAGCTTGTCCTCATCTTTCCTTTGCAATTTGGGGAGCCAAGGAAACTACAGTTCCCATCTATCCTAGAAGAAAGCAACACTGAAGAAGTTTGGGAAGAGTAATGTAAAAGCATGGGTCCCAGTTATTTAAAGAACCACTCCAGAAGATTCCTCCCACTCTTTGGGGAAATTAACTTTGTTGCTTGTGGAGGAGGGGCTGGTGTGAAGTGAACAGTGTCATGTCAAAAACTTAGAGGATGCTTCCGTATGCCTTCACCAAATCTGGAGGCTGAAGGTGGCAGTGAAGCCCTGCCTGTCTGCATGGCTGCAGAACTGACCAGGACACCTTCGACAACCTCGTGTTCTTTCCAGGGAGGCAGTATAGGGCCACCAACTCTGGGTGGGAAAAATGCTGGAGATTCTGGGGTGGATCTTGGGGAGTGCAGAGTTTGTGGAGGGGAGGAAGATCGATGGGGTATAATGCCATAGAGTTTGTTCTCCATTTTCTCTAGGGGAATTCACTGGAGGTCATTTGTAATTCCAGAAGACCATGAGGCTGGCAAACCTAAGGCATGATGTGGTGACTCACTTTCCAGCAGGCCCCCTCAAGACTCAGTCTGGGCAAATATTTGCAGGAAGACCTTCCCTAGGACTTCTGGGGTTCTACTCATCTGCAGTGAGCTGTCCATGGTCCTGATCATCTTGGGAGCCCTCAGGCTTTTGCTTGGCTTTGTGGACTCTCCCTCAGGACCCCAGAAAAGCATCTTCACTCACACAAGTAAAGGCAAATTACTTCCCTTGGTCCCCTGCAGGGCCTCATTATTGGTTTTTTTTTTGGTGCTGCCTGCCAATTGGGGAAAGGAAAAAGTCCCAGTACCTTTTCTCCTTATTGCCCTTGCCTTATAGTGGACATAGGAAACGTCTCCTGTCTGTTAACCTAGCTTGAATGCAGCCCCAGGGAACACAAAAATGTGGGCACCCCAGATACGTGGTTTTAGGAAAAGCCCTCCCAAAGATAGCAAGACACAGCAACCAGGATTGGTGGAAAACAGAACCTTCTGGTTGGCCAGTTATTCTGGTGCCTTCTTTTGGCGTCCTTTGGTTCCAGTTTCCTGGGCAGTGGGAGGCAGGAGGGTCTGGTGCAGTGAGCGGCTCAGCATAAAGAGACACCTGCATCAGCACTGAGAATGCTTGTTTAAACTCCCAGAGATGTAAACTCCCATGATTCATGGGTCATGGAAAAAA